CATAACCATACGATTGAGGTCCATTGGAACAGATAAACACACAATATTCAGGAGTGCGAACTACTTCACTCTCGCAGGTCATCTAGTTGGTTTCGGGAGCAAGTGCTAAGTCTTGTAGACGGCTCGGTCAACAAAGAGAGGCATTTGGTAAACTAATTAACGTTTGGGTAAACGGAACGCATTGCGATCGTCGATACTACTGAACAGAAGTAGTTAAGTACCGTTTGCTTTGAAGTATGACGTATATTTCTTTTTTGGTTGGACGGGCAGGAGACAGTAATTGCCGATGGGAAAGAAGCGCCTTACATACAGGATTGGGATCAGCCTACAGGCTATGACGAATGCGTGAAACGAGACTTGTTTTTGGAAGGGGCATTTTTGATGAAGGCTACTTTTGTTATGTGGTTTAAAGTATATATTACGAAGGAAGTCGGTATGCGAGTCTGAGCAGTTAGAGTTACGTACCTTGCTAAAGAGATGTAAACGAGCTCATCAAGTGTGCTTAATTTAAGCGGAGAGTTATTGTCGCAAACTGTTATATATAGACAAGGGTGGCCGTGTTTAACCCCGGTATCAGATGTAGGTGTGATTCTCACAAGAGATTTTAAGGGATGCTAACAAATTATGCTTTTTTCGGCTCACTGACAGACCGACTTTGTGCAAGATGCAGGACGCCGCCGTCCGATTCTGACTCTATGCGATAGGCCAGAAGGTATGCCACTTCCATGTTTCATATGTAGCACAGAAAAAGACTATGGCCCCAAGGGTGCTGAAGACGGATAACTAGAGCGTTTGAAAGCGTTCTAACGAGAGGACAATTTAGTTTAATGTGAGGTTAAAAGATGGTGTGATTTGGAAGGTAAATGGAAAACTTAAAGTATTTTTACGAGGATTCCTCCTATCAGGGCATTGAGAGAACCGGGGGCAATGGTAAGACAAACAATCATTTAGCGGATTAGGGAGTAATTCAGGGAGACTGGCTGAGAGCAGACGATGCGCACCATACACCTAGAATCTTTCGTGAGCGTCCCGTTTTCTTCTGGACGGATGAAGAACATAGACACCGATTTTAGAGTTAAACATTGGAATAAGAGCTTGACAGAGCCGTATATTCGGCAAAGGGAGAGAAATGTTAATTAATCACACCTTCTGGCCAGGTTAAACACAGAGCTTATATTGTTGGCGTGGTGAGACAGTTGCTTAAGTGGGAAATAGTATGAGGGATAAAAACACAGTTAGTGAATAAACATCGATAATCGTCATAGTATGAATACGTTTAAGGACGGAACGTGGTCACAAAACTGGAGATCTACGAATATTTTTAGGGATTCCGTAGTTAGCTAGTTGACCTGAGAAATTGGAGGATAGACGGGAAGTTCGTCGAAGACCCAGCTTGAGTAAACGGTCGAAATAGCAGGAAGTGAAGGGCCAAATATTCCGACACCGTATGGTAAACAGGTACCGCAAGTGGCCAAGGGGCATGTCACGCGTTGAATCTGGTAAGACTTCGATGGTAAATCACGCCATAGTTTTTCCGGTCCGTAACATACAGGTTGGATATTCTAGGACGCCATCAGTTGACCCAGGATTCAGCTTTGTAGCTGTTACGAGTCCAGTGTGTTTCCGACTTATAAGTCGAGTGGTATTTGTGCAGTGAGGATGTGGGGCTCCGCTTCAAATATCGAATAGCTTATAAGGTGTCATTGGTGGGATATAGCGTAGATGGAATTTCGGATACAGTAAACTGGAAAGTGAAACCAACTTTTTGGTTATCATTATAATAAACGGATGGACATTAAATAAAATAGGTCATGTGTGGTTTAATTACAACCAGATAAATTTGGTGAGGTATTGATACAGGGAACACTTTGGTTCAGGTAGATTCAGGTGGAAAGAAATCAGAAATGAGCAGTAAATCCGGTTGCTTGAATGAAGTGTCAGAATTTGCTTGCTGAACGCATCCACAAGTGGAGGTTATTTGTTATATGGGACGTTATTGCAGCCCGAACTATTCATGCACGTGGATTATGTCATGCACAGCGCAGGTTTAGAACCGTAACAGTCCATGATACGAAATGATGATGGTAAAAATATTGTTATGAGATCAGTGTTAAAGACAGAGGTTAAGGCTGGGAGTGCCAAATCATAAGCAGAAATCTAATACATTTGTGATTGACTGCAGCACAAACATGTGCTAAGTATGCTTTATCAGGAGTGAAATATGATGTGTTATGTGTTTGCCTGGTGAGAATATAAGGTCGTAGAGTGACAGGACAGATAGTTGGACATAATCCAGGTTCACCCATATTTCTTCAGATGACACGATTTCCTGCAAAGTGTGTACCACCTTGATGATATTGTTGAACAAAACGTTAAGAAAGTGCGCCAACAGATCTACACATAAATTTGCATAATGCTCAACAAAACTCAGTGATGTTCCATATATTCGCGAATATGGGGCGTTGCTCGATCACGGAAAGTGAGACGTCTCCAGGTGTTCGCTAATCCTTGCCTCAAAACCATAGCTCGCCTGGATAGGTGTCGGCGATTGGAAAAAATGTGTCAAGCAACAGAGGCTGCGTTGGCTGTGACATGTGTTCCGTATGTCTTTTGCCGAAAAGAATTATGTTTTCTACGCCAAATTCATAGTGGCGTGAAAGGGCACGTAGCTATCCTTTGACCTGGCTGAAGGATATTACGAAACGTATGGCTGCTGTCAGTGCTACTCATCTTCCAGGATCGGAACCGCGTGATCCCCACTGCGCCCCTTCAGAGACGCTGTAGAATATGGTTGACAACCAATGGCAGTGGCATTCATGTTGTCACTTTCTATCCAGATGGCGCGAATGAATGTCTGGAGGTGTCGGCACCTTGGAAAAATTTTGCGTGCGAACTAGAAATAAGGTGTCTTTTAACAGCCCCAGGTGAGTCAATAAAAATAGTCTAGGATTGCAAGTTTTTGTATTTGGAATCACAGAGGCTGTTCTAGAATAAGACACTTACTGGATGTGCATGATGGCGCTTGCGGGTTCCCACTATTGTTTGACGTGCTTCGCGAAAGCGAATTCCATAAATCTTCACAAACTTTCATATTCGTCCTGATTACCTTTCTAATGAAGAACGTCCTTGAAAAAATAGAATTTTAATCCATAGTCTCTACGGAATATTTTTGAAGCCTTAAACCTGACAATAATATCGCCAAAGATACCCCTGAATGCTGGCTGTCAACTCAGTTTCTGCTATCTTGCTAACGGGTTTTTCGGATCCTCTTGTTTGTTTGTTTGGGAATGGAAGATGCAAAAATGCATTTTATTGCCTTTAGTACCCGAAGAATCAAAGCCTGCTTATGATTATTTTGAAAGGAATAGGGTAAATTTGGAAATCCCGATGGGCTTGGAAGGATGCACTGTGTTCTTAGATAATTGAATTCTAGGATAATGTAACTTCGGGGCGAACAGGGAAGTGCTTATTTTTGGACAAAAGATATCATTCGTACTTTTGGAATCATTACGCTGGGAATGAATGTTATCATAAGCTATTAGATGTCATTTGAGTTTTTTGCGGGAGCTCACACGAAAACGGCATAGACGCTGATATGCTTCGGATCCATCAAAGGTTAGGTTTTTGTTTCGTACTACTTCTACTTTCTAATATGTCAGAGAGTTGCATTCTTCCAAAAAATAGAGTTGTTTTTTGTGTGGATCACAAGAATTGTTTACAAGCTGCTGGACACGAAGTTTGAAAAAATTCATTTGCATTGAGCTTTCGAAGAGAACAGCATATGCCAGCATCCTCGTGAGTTTTCCCGGTTGTTGCATTGAACGTTGCATTGGATCCCTGATTATTCAACATACACTATACAAAGATTCATTCATTCATTCCAAATCAACTTTTCATTTTATGTGTAGACGGCGCTTGCAATTGCTTTGATCAGATACCGCTCGCTGTTTTCACCAAAAATTTGGCTCCCAATCGCTTACCCGTTAACAGCGAGGAAGTGTTCTCTCTTTTTAAGTTAGAGGCAATCGGCGAAATAATTCTATTCAAGTTTGGACAGTCAAAGTAAAAATGATATTTTTTCGAAGCCTTTATAACATGTGAGCACAGAGAACAGACTGGGATTAAATAACTGACAATTAATTGTCCTCGTTAAGTTTGTACCTGGCGCCATGAATACATGGTCTGTTGACCACCACATAGGCGTTCCGGCCGTCTGCCAACGCAGTTGGGTGAGCCACTACGTCACAAGTACACGTGTGCATAATCAAGACTATGGTGATTATTGGGGGCCAGTTTTCAAAACGATACCCTGACAAAAAAGGCGAACGTTCTAACTGTTGCCGACTCTGCCGACTCTCACACAGAAAGACTGATAGGGAAGTCAGACACAAAAATATGGGCTTCTTAAATTCACAGTGCAAAAAACCTGGAGCGTCGCCAAGCAGACAAACGGTCTTCCCAAATTTGAAATATTCGACCAAGGATAGCCTAGTAGAGGGGCAAAAACTGGCCATATAGGGTAATGACATGAAAAATCCTAACGTTGGCAGTAAAATGATTGTTTCTGAACGTTTTGGTAACCCAATAGTATTTTTGGATTATTGTGTTATTAAAGGCACAATTGTCCAACCGACCAAACTGGATCGCATAGGTAAGTGCGACATACATATTAACTACTAACGTCAGTGGCGCTGCGACTGGCAAGGAACTTGCAATCAAGAGCCAAAATATGCAGAGCTGGCGCCACTTCTTTCTTCCAAGAGCAAGAAATACACAGAAATGAATTCCACATCCAAGTGGCAAACTTACACTTGGGTTGTTTTATATGTACAGGCAAGTGCAAGGTGCTCTACTGACTAGTCATCCGTAAAAGTTGATCCAGATCTTTTCATCGGCTGCAAAGGCAATAGGCAAGCGGAAACCAGCCTCAGTGCTTTCAATTTAAAACGTGGCCATGAAAAAGACAAAGCGGGGTTTTGATTTTCTCTCTATATTTGTAGATAACGGCCTCCAGGTTTACTCCGTTGAATGCAATCATTTTGGTTCAGGATGGGGTCAGTATTGGTAACTGTAAGGGCCGAGGCCACAAATTGGATGACACTGTGTCTGACAGTCCAGAGAATACCAAACTGATCATGTCGATCGCTAGCGATCTGGGAATCGGTGAAAAGGCAGTGGGGATGCGATTTGTTGTCAAATAGGCTGCGTAAATTCCACCAAATTTGGCATGTTATCTGAATAAGCGCTGCGGTCATCCCCGAAAGCCAGGTGCTCGGGTCTGTAACGAAAACAGCACCTCTCTTTAATTCAGCGCATTCAATAAGCTGTCAGTAAAAGTTTAACAAGGAAACATTAAAGGCTAACTGGCGTTAAAAAATAAGTTTTGGCGGGAATCGTCAAAAATAAGTAAAAACGTGTCCGAATGTATTATTTCTCTTGCTGCCTGCCGCAAACAATAAAGGTTTGTCGGTGGTAAAGCAAATGGCATCTACCAAAACCAATGTTCTACATCAATCTAACTAAGGGTACCCCCGAGGGTACGAGGGGTGATGGAATCACAGAGACAGAAAAAAGCGATCAAGATTTACAGGTCTCTTTAAACGCTTGAGAGGAAAGCTTCCATGGAACCATCAAATCTGCAGAACCGCCTAAAATTAGACATCCACCTATTGAACTTACAAAAGTATGCAACAATGTTGCTCCGTCTGAACAAAATAAAATGTTATTTTTCGCTGACTGAGCTGCCCCCCAAAACATTTCTACACACTTTTCCTTGAGATGTGGAAACGAACAGCCCACATTATACACTGCAGCATTTATTGTGTTGTGAAGAAATTTGTTAATCATCAAAAATTCTCAGCCTGTTAGTGAAGCAAATCTATGCTGAAAAGCCGAGAGGCACTGTTCAGCCGTTCCTCCTCTATTAGGAACCTAGAGCAGTTTACATCACACTTAACTCAGGGTGTCATGAAGGCTTCTGTGGTTAAACGAGGAAACGATGAGCAGAGTGAGTGGATCTGACTGACGCGCTATCAAGTCCATGTCCCATTTTGGGTCGACGTGATTTCTTGTGGCTCTAGTGTCAGTCAAAGTCACAAAGCTGTATCCATCAGGCTGACACCTTCTCTAAACGACGAAATACCTGTTCATATGTCTTTTCGAAGGAATCCCATATTCAAAAAGTTACAAACAGTTAGATTGCCGTAGGAATATTTCCCTCACTGAATCAGGACTCTTTGTTTTTTTGTCGCACTCGCATGGATATTTACAGACTCCTTAAAGACGACGCCAGTCGTTTTATAGCATGCGCTAACAGGTTTCTTTTCTGCTTGGGACGCAAGAATGACGCACCCTACGCCGGATTTGTTCAACAAGCTGCTCAGAGGCTATTTACCAGCTGCATACCCGTAGAATTTGCATACGTTTGAAAATGATTGTTATTTTTCACCTAGATTGTCGTCCCTTCAGTGGGATTTCACACCTACGCCTTCTTGGAGCAAGGTTTGGTTCATATGTTTTGCTCCTTTGGCCCCACTGATACACGATGAGGAAGGGTGAAGCACTTTGCAAAATTATGACACCTTTCGGATAGTTGAGGCGTGAGGCACGCTACATCTGGGCTCATGTTCAAATAGGTTTTAGATAGGCTTTATGTGGGTCTGTCCTCTGTTAAACCTATTGCCCCTATTGCCAAACCAAGTACATTTTGGGTAGCGTAACATTCTTTTTCGCTTATGAATTCAACGTGAGGCGTAACTACTGAAAAGCAGGGACTAAACGGACTCGGAAGGCTTTGCCAAATGCCCTACTACCGGACAGTGTAATCACCCTGCAGCATCAATGTCCCGGTTATAGGTATTTGGCAGCTTCAGGTTGGGTTAGTGGTCAAGCATCTGCCTGATGGGCTTAATTTGCTAAAACGGACCATATATATTGACGGAAGGATTTGTACTGTGTGGTTAGTTTAGGTGTTTGATGGCCCGGTCGTAGTATTCTCCACATCATAGAGACCGCCATGAGTCCTGGATATTCCTGCATCCTTTGCCCACTTTTCCGGCAGTCAGTTGGATCTTACGTGAAAGATATTATGACCGGGTAACATCACACCATTTCAATTGAGTTTTGTGATGGTTCGACGGGTCGACGGACTATTGTCAAAGATATGTCGTGACAAGGCTTTTACATGCGGCGCACGTTTTACTACAAAATCGTCGTGCACGACGAATTAGTCTACATTCATAGCAGTATCACTTAACTCCCCTAAGGAACAGGGCGCCAGTCGAGGAAAAGTGATTGTTGTCCCTGATTAAAATCATTCTAAACTAATTTGAGGATCCATAAACTTAAACACTTTTTTTAAAAATTATCTGAATTGCTGGTCATTTGCATCCATCCAGGGTGCAAGTCGAACGAATTGGACTATCCGACCTGTTGAAGTGAATAGAAACGCTTCGCAGTCAAATGGACGGTAACTATCGGATTAAATGCAAACTCATTCAAAGTTGGGCTTCATTCAATGTAGGTGTTTTACTTTTGACTTGTTGACGTAGACCCAGGGGATTTTTTTGCACAGACGCTTTGGGTTTGTGCTACAGTTACGTGGACATTATTCGTAAATGGATTGGTAGCTAGCGGAGACTGTTGGCTCCAAACTCAGGTTTTTGTTGACTTATTTTTCAAATCGACTATCCGTTTCTGATGAGAGAGTGTGCATGTGATGAGTGGTAAGATTGGCTGCAGCAGTCAATGCAGCGAAATGTCGTAAATCGAAGGACCTCAGACAATGTTTAGGATGGAAGCAGTGCTATCCTTTTTTCAACTTATGCATCCTCATTTATATTGCTTTTATCAAACTGGGAAGACTGTGCCAGGGATTTGTGGTAAAATGCAATGGAATGCCTTTGAGGGAAGCCTGGTGAACCAAGTGGTGACTTGTGATTTTGGCCATACAAAGCCATTATTTCCAATTGTGTTTGATTTCGAAAACCACAAAGGCTTTTCGGTAAACTTCAGCAAATCAGTTACACGCCTGATTTCTCGTCAAACATCACTGATTCAGGGGCACTTAGTGGCCGGGTCAATTCAAGAAATTTTGAGGTCACTGACTTCATTTTTCGCAAAGTGATCATTTTGCATCACCAGTGATACACAATTCATATACTTTGTATGATGACCAAGAATTATTTGGGCTCTCAACTTCTGTTGCGAATAACAAATATTTATGGGCGTAATGCACTACTCGCAAGGTTGTTGAAGCACTCCGACTGCCCACAACCGGTTCGCTTTTCTTGGGGCTCATCAGGTAGGCGCAGTCTCCGAGTTTCCGTCAACCTTATGTTCTTGAAACCAAACCGCACAAAAATAGCGGAATACGCTTTTCTGCATATCAATTTGCTTTAGACGTGAGGGTCACGTAGAAACAAGCTGAATTTCCCATTTATGATGTTTTCTTCAGCTAAGTGCGCTGTACCAGACCGTCCAATGTTTCAGTAGGTACGATTTTTGAGGTTGCACATATAAAGACAGGAAACACCTGTAAATCGGGGACCTGATGGTATGCCCCAAGACTGACGAAGCCGTTCTCGGTGTGTCTAAGAGTTTTCGGCCACCGAACGAATAGGGAATTACAACCACATAGGTGTCGCGAAATTTCGAATATCGTACCAACTGAGACACGAGGCGTTCTAAGAGGCTGCTGGATAGTAATGGGTGAAACCACTTAGCTGCTTTTTCAGTCGCAAAGCTTTCTGCTTAATTTTCGACGCTTCTGGAATTGGTTAGAGTTCCATCGTTATTGGGCACCTCGTCTTAACTTTGTATATAAAAGAAACTTAGTTGCTTGTTGGTTTCATTTCAATGATAAATATCAATAACTCGTCATTGTATTATACCAGTAAACATTTTATGTACCAATTTAGATTTTGACCTGTTAACTCACACCATAATCCTCTATCAATCTGTACACTTTTGGATGCACAATTTGAAAGTGTTGGAAATTTGCTGATACATGGTCAAACTTTCGGGCAGCCTACGTCCTACAATAACGGCGACTCGTTTAAAAAACGATATTTGAAGTATGTCCATTAGAAGAGGTTTGGAGTTTGCAGTGATTAGTTTGTCGCAGAAAACTAATTAACAGTTTGTTGGAAAGATCTTTGGTGATAGTAACCGAAGTCGACACCGAAGTGGACACATTCGTTCACAACAAAGCAAGGGTCAACACAACTGACATGCTCACAATCGTGTGCCCTTAGGGGAATTTCGATTGCGTTATTTTGTACCAGTGTTTTTTTTGGCTAATTCACCAGGACCTTACGCTAAACTAAGTTTTGGTGCCTGGTATTTTCTGACAGTTGGGGTGATTTATGAGGACTGTTGAGTCATATGGGGTATATTATTCGTGGACACTGGGAGGTAGTTCACAGCAGTAGTAAGTGTTACCACCGAATGCTGGACAAATGTAGGTTGATTTCCAACTGTCATAGAACATGACATCAGATGTACTACTAAGAAAGAAGCATTATATTCGTTTTTAACATTTGTGACACAGGTTGTTGACTTGTTTCAGCTCCGGATTTCACAGCATATCCTACAACCTTCTGTCCAAATAAGATAAATAATTTGCGTGTTAATTTCCGTTGACTAGCCTGGGTAAAATATTAATCTGGTGAATTTATACGAAGAATCGGCGTGCATAGTTCTCTAATTCGATAAACGTGAACATCCAAAAGTATCTTTATGCGTAGATGGGGAGCAGCCTTCATCAGTCAACAAAAACCTCTTGCTAAGTATTACTTCAACAAACAAATGAACCACCAGATGATGAAATCACTCGGATAAATTAATAACCTTTGCAGCAGCAACATTGCAGGCAGTCGCATGCATGCTGGAACGGATCGATTTCTACGGCCATACTGGTAATCAGGGAGTACATGTAACTAATTTACGTCTTGGATTTTGCCGAAAAAGAAATCATTTATAAGCTTCCAACGCAGGCTACGGAATTCAACTCCGTACGGTTCGTGTCTTCCAGTGTACACTCTGTTGTATCCTTACGGCTCCGTTCCGCTAGAAATTGCATAATTCTTCTTGTTGAACACAAAATTGATGTAAGATTGTTGTCCCGATGTTTGGCCATAAGCAAACAATTTTTAAAACTTATGTATCCTATTTTTCTGCAATCTGTCACTTGCGTTGTTTG